GCAGGAGCCTGTCGACGAGGCCCAGTTGCCGAGGCACCAGTTCGCCCTGTGCACTCCGTTTCTGCCAACAGAGTTCAAGTATCCCGTGTCGTCGTTGGTCGAGTGGCTGGAAGTAAATCTGGAGATGGGATTCACGCTGATCACCATTTATCTATCCCAGCCGCCGAGTAAAAAACTATGGGACGTTTTGGTCGACTTTATGGTCTACCCACCGACAAACAGCGAAGGAAACCAGCTGCAACTCAATCTGGTGCCTGCTTATCTGTCGCCCAATAAAAGCCAAAAGAATGACGCCCAGAATGAGTGGAGACCACCCGTCAATCTCTTGGCTAACGATTGCTTGTATCGAAATATGATGATAGCTCGCTTTCTGGTCGTCAGCGACTTCCACGAGCTATTCACTCCACTGACCAACATCAACAAGAATGGCTCATTGATGATGCGCTTCATCGATAGTCTGCATGGACCAAGACACAACATTCGTCTCAATCTGCCCGGCATCTGTCTTCCGGTCGTGATGGTTCCTGTCCAGCAAAGCCTTGCTCCGGAGTTGGAATTCGAGTGGAGGCGAGAGCATATTTTCCTTCTCACCAAGGCCCTATTTTACCTAACCTCGCAAACGACCGATCACTACCAGCGTTGTTTGGTGCGGCCCATGGCATTGGTCATGCTGAACGCAGAGAGGATCAAGCGGTTGTTCAATCAGATGGTTCTGGGCGAGCTCATAGAAGTCGACAGTCATCAGGAGGCCGAACTGTGGGGTCTGTTCCGTCTCTACATGAGGTGTGATGAACAGAGAGACCTTTACGATGTCACGAGTCCCATGCAGATCAAGGAAATGTGCCCCGGAATTGTCAGAAGGCAAGCACGCAGCATCCCTGAACTACTTGGTCATGCGAACGACTCGGAGATCAGGCGTCGGGTGGAAGTTCATCTAATGCGGATCAAGGATAGGATGACGGATCATACTACTGTTGATAAATGAGCTCATTTTATGGAAGGTTACAAAATGGTTTTTGCATTGTCATTTAAATCCCATTTCTGACCACTTCCGGTTATAAATGCAAAGATGCCTCGCATCTTGAGCTATATACGCGGTTGCTCCTAGTACACTTGACATCCGGCTCCAAGTGTTCCCTAGGCAGTCTACACAAGTTGCTTGGAGGGATATGTATGCAACTGCTGCTTAGAAAAAGTGTATTCTCTTCGTTTTCATAACTTGGTCGTGTTGTCAGGGCGACCTAGATAAACATACCTTATCCGGAGTTCTCTGCCATAGTGGTCATGATAATTTTCTAGGTCAGACCTTTGATTTGGTACATTCCCAAAGGTTTCGCGGGCATTGTAGTCGTGAACGTCAACGAGCCTTGCCACTCATAGCAACAAACGATAACTCGTCAAATATACAATTGAAGTCGACCGTTTGATTGCAAATGTTCAGTATAAAGTTGATCAAAGACTGAACATCACCGGTCGCTCAACGAGTTATGGAGTGATGCCGAGAATAGCGAGACTCGTTGATGCTGCCGACTGCGATTTTACAAATGTTTCAAATCAACGGTTCGACTATGGAAGAGGACTCTGGACAGGTGTGCTTATCTCCTAACAACACAACCAAGTTGTGGAGGCTAAGTCGACCCA